GACATTATAAGAAAGAAAAATTATAGGCCAATTTTATTCAGAAAATACATGCAAAAATAACCTAAACAAAATATTAATACAGTAAATCTAACAATATTAAAAGAAAAATACATTGCAACCAGTTGGTATTTGGTTCAGGAATGAAAGGTTAAGCTTCATATTCAAAAATCAATAAATAGGTGTTATAACCATTTCTTAAATTAATCAGTATACTTCACCACATTGATGACATAAAGGATAAGTCATGTGATTATCTCAATAATACAGAAAAAATAAAATAAAATCCAACATCCATCCATGATAGAAATTCTTAGTAAACTGTAAGTAAAAGGGAATTTTCCTAAGCAAGCAAAACTCATCTTTAAAAAAAAATCTAGGGGCGCCTAGGTGGCTTAGTCGTTAAGCGTCTGCCTTCAGCTCAGGTCATGATCCCAGGGTCCTGGGATCAAGCCCCACATCCTGCTCCTGGCTCAGCAGGGAGCCTGCTTCTCCCTCTGCCTCTCCCCCTGCTCATGCTCTCTCTCTCTCTCTCTCTCTCTCGCTCGCTCGCTGTATCTCTGTGTCTCGAATGAATAAATAAAATCTTAAAAAAAATTTTTAAAGTAAATAAATAAATAAAAATTAAAAAAATTTTTTTAAAAATCTATTGTGGCACCTGGGTGGCTCAGTCAGTTAAGTGTCTGCCTCCAACTCGGGTCATGATCCCAGCATCCTGGGATCAAGTCCCACATGGGGCTCATTGCTCAACGGGGAGCCTCCTTCTCCCTCTGCCTGCCACTCTCCCTGCTTGTGTGCACTCTCACTCGCTCTCTCTCTGATAAATAAATAAAATCTTTAAAGAAAAATCTATCAATAACTTATGTCCACACAAAACCTGCCCACAAATGTTTATAGTAGTTTTATTTATATTTACCAAAAACTGAAAGCAACCAAGATATCCTCCAATAAATGAAAGGATAAACAAACTGTGGTACATATATACAATAGAATATTATTCAGTGATGAGAAAAATGAGCTATCAAGCCACCAAAAGACATGGAGAAACCTTAAACACATATTACTAAGTGAAAAAAGCCAGTCTGAGGGGCGCCTGGGTGGCTCAGTCGGTTAAGCCTCTGTCTTTGGCTCAGGCAATGATCTCAGGGACCTGGGATCAAACCCCTTATCAGGCTCCCTGCTCAGTGGCGAGTCTGCTTCTCTCTTTCCCTCTGCCCCTCTCCCCGCTCATTCTCTCTCTTTCAAATAAATAAATAAATAATGTTAAAAAAAAAAAAAGGGCCAGTCTGAAAAAGCTACATAGTCTAGGAGTCCAATTATATGACATCTTGGAAAAGGAAAAACTATATTGACAGTAAAAAGATTACTAGTTGCCAGGTGTTGAGGAGGGTGGGGAGGGAAGAACAGGTAGGAGATGGTATTTTTAGGGTAGGGAAACTATTCTTTATGGTACTATATGTAATGATGGATACATGACCTTATGCATTTGTCAAAACCCATAGAATTGTACAACACAAAGAGTGAAACCTCATGTAAATTATGGACTTTAGTTAGTAATAATATATAAATATTGGTTCATCAACTGTAACAAATATACCACACCAAGGCAAGATATTAACAATAGGGAAACCTGGGGCGATAAGGGGGAAGGGAATATACATGGGAGTTCTCTGTATGTTCTGCTTGATTTTTCTTTCAACTTAAAACTTCTCTAAAAAACAAAGTCTACTAGTTTGTTTGTTTTTTGTTTTTTAAAATCTATATCAAACAGCATACTTAATAGTAAAAGGTTGAAAACTGTTCCTCTCAGATTAGGTACCAGATAAGGATGCCAACCATCACTACTTACACTCAACACTGTACTGGAGATGCAGTGAAGTAAAGCAAGAAAAAGAAAACCAATAACTAGTTTGGAAAGGAAGAAAAGAAAACCATCATTACTTGCATAAGATATGATTGTAGATGTACAAAATCTAAAGAATCTATAAATTATTAGAATTACTGAATTACTGTATTCATTACTGAATACAAGATCAATAAAAAAATCAATCATATTGCCATACAGCAGTATTAACATAAATGAAAGAGAAAGTAAATAACATTTAAATTAATATAAAATAATATCAAGGGGTGTCTGGGTAGCTCAGTCATTTAAGCATCTGCCTTCAGCTCAGGTCATGATCTCGGGGTCCTGGGATCAAGCCCCATGTTGGGCTCCCTGCTCAGTGGGGAGTCTGCTTCTCCTTCTCCCTCTCCCACTGTCTCTGCCCCCACTCATGCTCTCTCTCTCTCAAATAAATAAATCTTTTTAAAAAATAATAAAATAAAATAATATCAAATACCTAGGGCATCTGAGTGGCTCAGTCAGTTAAGTGTCCAATTCTTTTTTTTTTTTCTAAAGATTTTATTTATTTATTTGAGAGAGAGAATGAGATAGAGAGAGCATGAGAGGGAGGAGGGTCAGAGGGAGAAGCAGACTCCCTGCTGAGCAGGGAGCCCGATGTGGGACTCGATCCCAGGACTCCAGGATCATGACCTGAGCCGAAGGCAGTCGCTTAACCAACTGAGCCACCCAGGCGCCCAAGTGTCCACTTCTTGATCTCAGCTCAGGTCATGATCTCAGGGTCGTGAGATCAAGCCCCATCTCAGGCCCTGCACTGAGCATGGAGCCTGCTAAGATTCTCTCTCTCCCTCTCCTTTGTCCCTCCCCCAACCCATGCTCTCTCTCTCTCTCAAAAAAAAAAAAATATATATATGTATATATATATATATATATATATACATTCTTACATATATATAAAATACCTAGAAGTAAATCTAATAATTTAATAATCTTTTTTATAATCCAAAAGATGTACAAAATGTGTACCCAGACAGCTATAAAACACTTTAAAGAAATGATAAATGGAAAGATATATTGTGTTCATGTACTGGAAGAATCAACATCATGTAAAGATGTTAATCTTCCCTCAAATTAATACATAGATTCAGTGCAAATGCAATTAAAATCTAACAGGTTTTTTGTTTTTATTTTTGTGTGTGTGTAGAAACTTACAAGCTGATTCTAAAATTTATTCCAAAATGTAGAGGGCCAGGGAATGGCCATGACACTTATTATAGAAGAAAAAATTAGGAGGACCTGATCTGCCAAACATCAAGATTTTTTATACAGTGACAGTAATCAGAACAATGGCATACTGGCACAAGAATACATAAGGAGACCAATGGAACAGAATATAGAGTCCAGAAACAGAACAATACATATATGGGTACTTAATTTTTAGAATTACAAATTCTTCTAGAGGTAATATGGGAAAATATTTTCATGACCTTATGATGGGAAGATGTCTGAGACAGGATGTATAATGTATTACTCATAAAGAAAAAAACTGATATATTGGAACATGCTTATTCATCAAAAGCACCACTAAGATAATCTGATAAAGGTATCTACAAAAATACTTATAGCAATTTCATACTTAATGGTGGATTATTAAACATTTTCCAAATGAGATGGGGAAAATTATTACTGCTATCATCACTTCTTTTCAATTTGAGGTCCTAGCTAGTATAATAAGGCAAGAAAAAGAAATAAAAGGTATATAAGTACTGGAAAGAAATGAAACTGTCACTATTTCAGATAACATGATTATATACATAGAAAATTTAAAATAACCTATAGTTCAACTATTTAAAGCCTAATAAGTGAATTTAGCAAGGTCTCTAAATATGACATAAATATACAAAATCAATCAATACCAGCAAAAATAGAAAATGAAAATTTAAAAGATACAATTTATAATAGTTTCAAAACACATTTAATGCCTAGGGATAACTTTAACAAAAGATATGTAATATCCTGACACTGAAAACAATAGACATTACTGAGGGAAACTTTAGAAGACTCAAATAAATGGAAAGATATTCCATATTCATGGATTGAAGACTTAATATTTCTTACTGTAATAAAGATACCAATTATCCCCAAATTGATCTATAGTTGCAACATGATCTCAATCAGGTTTTTTTTAATTTGCAAAACTGTTAAGTTGATTCTAAAATTTATGGAAATGCAAAAAGGCCAAGAGAAACCCAGGCAATCTTTAAAAAAGATTTATTTATTCATTTTAGAGAGAGAGAGTGCATGCAAGTGGGGGTAGGGACAGAAGGAGAGAATCTTCAAGCGGGCTCTCATGGAGCCTGATGAAGGGCTAGATCCAACAACCCATGAGATCATGACCCCAGCCGAAACCAAGAGTCAGATGCTTAATGGAATGAGCCACCCGGGTGCCCCAAACCCAGGCAATCTTAAAAAAGAAGAGGGCTAATGGACTTATACTGCAGATATCAAGACCTATCATACAGCTATAATAATATAGGTCAGCTTTGTAAGTATAAGTAACTTTAAAATTAACATTTTAAAAAGATTTAAAAATAAAACTACAAGGGCACCTGGGTGACTCAGTCAGTTAAGCAACCAACTTTTGATCTCAGCTCAGGTCTTGATCTCAGGGTCATGAGTTCAAGCCCCGCGTTAGCTCCACACTGGGCATGGAGCCTACTTTTTAAAAAACTTTTTTAAAAAATAAATATAAACAAAACTACAGCTCAAAACAATTTACATTACATAATACAAAGGAAAAATTTTACCTTGGATTCAGTATCAGGAAAATGTGAATCCCTTCAGCTAGATGAACTGAAACACTTTCTTTTATTAGAGAATTAAGATATTATAGTCCATTTTGTTATCCTTTCCAGGTAACTTAAGAATGTGTAATAAGGAACTAATCACAAGTGCTCTAAAACACATCTCTTGGTTTTCTTTAATATGCTTTTTATTTATTAGGTATTAAGTAAGTACTGCAAATTATTTTTAAGTATTAAATAATAAAAAATGGCAAAGCTGTGTCTTCAAAACCATTCTCCTTCCTTATCTGCCAAAGAAGCAAGAGAAACAGCTAATTCCAAAGCCAATCAGAACCTGACAAATCAGAGATGTTTACCTGATCAAGCCCTTCCCCAGATTTCCTGAGATTCTGTAGTTGGTAAACTTCCAGGCTTCTTCCATCATCTTGACAGCACAAATCAATTACAACACAGCCCTGGTCCTCAAAGGCATTGATTTGATGAAAAGTAACAAAAGGTTTACTGTAGTATATTCCTGGAAGAAGCTGCAGGGGAAAATACAAACAATGAAAGAGAGATATTTTGTTTTTTCATTTTTTTTCTTTAGGGGACAGACCCACAAAGTTTAAATTAAAAAGATTCCCTCCCTTTAAATGACAGGCCTAGTAAGTGTAAAAAGTAGAATTTGGAATGTAGAAGCAAACCTTTGATTTAAGCATCCTTCTTTAAGCCATCACATCTCATATTAAATAATGAATTCTGGAGCTATCTGATACAAACCAATCAATGATTACAATGAACTTAAAAGTCCTGATGAAATATGGCCCAAGGTTTTGAGGGATAAATAAATCCTGGATTCTATCTTACATGATTAAATAGAAAATACTGCTATTAAGTAGCTTATGACGAACTCTTTGAAAATGCACTCATTACCAAAAATAGGATTTTTCTGGTAATGAAATTAGGGTAGAATAAATTTAGGATATTATCTCTTTAAAGAGACTAAAAGAAGACAAATATAATAGTACTACTAATCAGGAGTATAGAAAGATATTTAACTAACCCACGCACCTTGGACTTTGGTAGGATTATCATATTTACCTATCAAGAAGTCACAGGAGCAAGCAATTAAAGTACGTGCAAAAGTTCCAAGACCTCTGCATGAACAGCATTCTCTTTAACAAATATCATCATATGGAAAAATCCATGCTTAGATGCTAAGAAGATTTCCTAGATGCCATTTTAGTTAAGTCAGATAATTAAAAGTGTAAAACCAACAATTTTCTAATATGCAAAACCCACTGTATTAACTAATAAGTGAGCTAGCCCTACCTACGGAAGAAGGTAATATCCTTGATTAAGAGAGTCTTATGCAAGCAATGCCCAGGGAAAGTAAAAATCAACCACAGGAAAATGTGTCTTTGTGTCCAATAATTTTCATGATAAATATACTCAAAATACTCCACCTGTCCAGTGTGCTTATCCACCACATGAAACCGTGTATTATACTGGGGTTCCCAGCTTATTCCACTTGAAAAGGCCTTTCCCCGAATTCTAGAAGTGACAATTTTCCACAAATTCATCTTTAGAGGCTGTTCAATGAAGATTATATAGTTCCTCGTCATTCCTAAAAGGTTCCAGCAAATAATAAAATGTTATTTGGCAAATTACAGTTGTCTGAAATGTGACAGTTACGGGGACTTATCTGAATGCCTGGACATAGTACTGCTGACCTAAGCAAAAGCCAGCCAGAAATAATCCTTCACTATTTCCCAGCTTTGTTTTACATATTTCCTGTTCCTACATAAAAAAGGGAACTGCTTAGAATAGCTTGGGTTGAATACCATCAGCTTGCTTTTTATCTTTCTTATTTTTCTTTTCAAATTGTTTGTTTTAGGAACAAAGTAAAGAAGCATAATATTAAAGTGTCATTTGTGATCAAGATGTTTATTCTGTAATCCATTTGCTATTTGTACTGAAGGTAAGGATTCAGGAGTAGATTGGCCATAACAGTTTAGAACGTAGAAAATAAATATTCTGAGAAAGAGCTGAAGCAATCAAACAGAATATAAATTTCCCCCAGGAAATATAGTCAAGACCTTTTCATGTATGATTATTACCTGTGGCTTAAAGTTACCTAAAATTTTGAATTCTGTCAATTTTTTTATGGTCAAATGATTTTTTTTATTAAGACATTACTTTTTTTAGAGCAGTTTCAGTTTTGTAAAAAAATTAAAGGGAAGGTACAGAGACTTGTCATATATCCTCTGTCCCCACACATGCATAGCCTCCCTTTTATCCACACCTCCCACTAGAGTGGTTGGTACATTTGCTATACCTGATAAACTTCCACACACAAATCAGAGGCACTCAAAGCCCATAACTGACCTTACGGTTCACTTTTGATGTTGTCAATTTTTAAGTAATTGCTAGTACTAAAATAAATACGTCTTTTTAAGCAGTCATTTGGCCAGGGTAAGAAGTATGTGACTGAGTAGAATAAACTTAACTGGCATTAAAATGCAACCTTGGTCTCATTATCAGCATCCTTTGATAAGCTTATCAACACAGTATTTGCCCAAACTAGTTCCTCTGCTACAGCGACATTAAGGCAGATGCCATTGCAATTTACCTTATGTCTGGGCTTACCAAAGCTATGATAGTAAGAAGGTTTCATCCTCTCTGCAGAGGCAATAGAACATATCACCTGGGCTCCGTGGATTGTCTCCCCAGGATCCACCTTCTCTGGAGGAACCCGAATAATATTATAGCAAGAACCTGGAAAACAAAGTCCTGTGTTATTTTACACACATTCTAGAATAAAAGATAACCCTCACACTCATGGACTACACAATAGCAGTTAAGAGATTTATACAATATATGCCTGACATCCATATTTCATAAAGGGTTATTTCAAACAAAGACTTGGATAAAAAAAAATATTAACTGGGGCGCCTGGGTGGCTCAGTCATTAAGCGTCTGCCTTCGGCTCAGGTCATGATCCCAGGGTCCTGGGATCGAGCCCCACATCGGGCTCCCTGCTCGGCGGGAAGCCTGCTTCTCCCTCTCCCACTCCCCCTGCTTGTGTTCCCTCTCTCGCTGTGTCTCTCTCTGTCAAATAAATAAATAAAATCTAAAAAAAAAAAGTTAACTTTATGAAAGTCACATTAGGTAAGATTTTAAAGTAATACACACAAAGTAATCAACCAACAGTTTATTGCATTTTTTTCATGATTAATACCTAAGTTTATTGCATTTTAATGCTCCCAAAAGTTTACCCTCTCACTTCCTGAAGATGAACTCATTCTCTATAGGAAGAGATTAGGTACCAGCCAGGATCATCTTCAAATTCTATTTGTCCCTCTCCCGACTCCCCAGTCCCTACAACTACAGTCTCCATTTGCCCCCACACCCACTTCTTCTCTCCAGTCCTCTGGATCCCTGGGGTCTCTCTGAGTCCTATCTCATCCTTTCTCATCAATGCATTCATGCAATCACCTTCATTCATGTAATCATTCATCTTACTGCTTCGTCAAGAATTAGCTCAGGTAACCCACTCCTCAAGTAGCACTCCCTGACTCTTCCCCACCCCAAAGGTATTTGGTGTCCCTCCTCTATGCCCTGAATATATCCCATACAGTCACAGCACTTGTCTTACTGAACTATAATTTTGTGCTTGTTTATCTGCTTCCCAGTATACTGGTGAGTTCTTCAAGGGCAGGAATTGTGTCTGATTCATCTTTGCATCCTCAGTACCAAGCAAGGACTTAGAATTCAATAGGCACAGTACAAATAGCTATTGACAGATGAATTAACAACATATGTTTTTTAAATCATTCAGTGAATAAACATATACTGAGGTCATCTCGAATTATATTTCTGGTATTAAAATTGCCAATGCTGGTCCTGAAAAACTGGACCAATAACTTGCAGAATTTTGCAATCATTGAGCTTCTTTTGGAACAAGTTCTCCATTCATTTGTTCAGCAATTACTTATTGAGTGCCAACTATATTCCAGGCACTCTTCTGAGTGTCCTAAGTTTATCTTCCAGACACTTGTATACAGCAGTGTGCAAATATACAAAGGCTCTTCTTTGATAAAGCTCAAATAAAGCATTCATAGGTAAAAATATAAAGCATGAGATGACAAAAAGATCTACAAAGAAAAATAAAACAGGGAACGGGAATCAAGCATAAGTGTATATAGATGGAGGCCACTGTTTGCAATTTTCGATATGGTGATCTGAGAAGGCTTAACTAAGAAGGTGACATTTGAGTAAAGACCTGAAGGAGGTGTGGAAGAGAGCCTTGAGGACACCTGAGAGAATCACAGTCCAGGCAGAGAGAAGAGTAAATGCAAAGATTCTCAGCCAAGAGTAAGTCTGGAGTGTTCAAATAACAGCAAGGAGGCCAGTGTGGCCCTGTTATAGTAAACAAGGAGAAGAGTCTAAGGAGACGAGGTGGGTGGGTTAAAAGGATAACTGGCTGATATGCTGAGAATGAGCTGACGGGACAGAAGCATGGAGATCCATTAAGAAGCTATTACAATAATTCACATGAGAGAGGATGGTGGGCTCAAACCAGAGTGCTGGCATGAGAGGTCATATGAAGTGGCTGGATTTTTTATTTATTTGAAGGCACTTGCTGCAATTGCTTTTTGACCAACTGGATATGGATGCGAGAAAGACAGGTGGGAAGGATGATTCCAAAATTATCATCCTGAGGAACAAAGATGAAGGATCAACTGAGATGGGGAATATTTTAAGCAGAAAAAATCTAGGGGAAAATTTCAGGAGTTTGGTTTTTAGATAAATTAATTTTGTAATGCCTATTAGACATCCTAGTAAAAACATTGAGTAAGCAACTGGATATAAAATACTGGAGAGGTCTGAGTTGGGGATATACATGTGTTCTGAGCACCCATGATATATAAACAGTGATGAGTTATAACAGCGATAAAAGACAAGCTCTACAGTTCAAGAGTATCATAGAGCCATCTAACTTATTACATATATTTAACTAGTACTAAAAACTACCTAGATTGATTAATGTTTAGAGGATTTTTGTTCATTTTTAAAAGTCTTTCTAAAAATATATGGAAAGGCTAAAACAATTAAAAGCTTTTTACTTCTTAAAGATAGAAATTACTGGTGAGCACTTTATTAGGGGAATCACTAAATTTTCCCACAACCTAGGTAGTAAGTTCCCTGCAAGGACATGTACATTCCAGTTCCAGTTCAAAAACTCCTCACTGGACTAAATCATCAAGTAAAAAGAAGGAGGAGGAGAGGAAGGAGGAAAGAAAATTCAGTTTTAGTTGAAGTTAGGAGAAGATAAAGAGAAGAACTGCCCATCTCAGTAGCTGGATTAAGTGACAAGACTCAATTCACTAAATTTAACCACTCTTAGTTAATGAACTGTTCTAATCACAAGTTGTGAAGCCCTGAGCAAGACAGACATATACCCAGGAAACAGCCAGCAGAGGAAAGCCCAAAAGAATGACCTCCCCAGTCCTGTGAGTCTAACTCTGGGAGACTCTTCATGATTTTGTATAATAGCAAATTGAGGCAAAGTAACAAGACAGCCTCTGATGACTGGGGGCAGGATTTCTCAAAGATCCAGGAGTCACTTGCACCAAAATCACCTGGGGACCTTGCTCGAATGCGCCAACATAAGGGGTAAGGGAGTAGTTAAAATGCAGATTCCTGGCCCCTTTTCAAGTCTATTGAACCAAAATCTCTGAAGATAAAGCCCAGTAATTTATATTGCTAGAAGTGTTCAGAACATTCTTAGGTACACTAAAGGCTAAGAACCTCTGATCTAATGACTATTTATTTTAGAATATATAATTCAGAATGGTTAAACAGTTTTTATCATATTATGAACTAGTTACAAGGTTATCTACTTGATTGAGAGTCAATTTATTAAGAAATTTATTTTTTGTCAACCATATTTTAATTAACAAGAAAATAGTTCTACTTAGGAGAATTCTATGCAGCTTGGTTCTATAAAATGCTTCTTGATGTAAGAAATAATTAATTACAATATTTTAATATGTTGCTAAGGGAAGAAAAAACAGACCAAAAAAGCATATAGAGTAGACACCATTTTTTAAAAAATGAATCTTGGGTGCCTGGGTGGCTCAGTCGTTAAGCGTCTGCCTTCAGCTCAGGTCATGATCCCAGGGTCCCGGGATCAAGCCCCGCATCAGGCTCCCTGCTCAGCAGGAAGCCTGCTTCTCCCTCTCCCACTCCCCCCTGCTTGTGTTCCTGCTCTCGCTATGTCTCTCTCTGTCAAAAAAATAATAAATAAAATCTTTTAAAATAAATAAATAAATAAAAATAAATAAATAAAAAATGAATCTTTTTTTAATGATCAGAAAAGATGGACAAAAAACTGCTGAGTCAGTTTACCCATTTGCTGAAAGATTTTACCTAAAAGGGTGTTTGCTGTGTTCTATAACAGCTTTGAAGGATACACCCCTACCCTAGATCAGGTAATAAAGAAGAGGAGAGAGACCTGGGTGATGAAGTTTCAGGGTACCCTATCTCTACATGAGCAAGTAAAAAACACACCTGCAGTATTCATTTTAATATACATCACAGGTATAAATATGGCGAGGTAGAGACCAACAACCTGCAAAGCCAATTACTCACCAAAAGTATACATTAACCTACACAAAAGTTAAACTCTACAGAGGTTTCACAGGTTATAGATGATAGATTGATAGCTAAGATAGAAATATCTAACAGCTACACATCTCTCTTTAAGATTTTATTCATTTATTTGAGAGAGAGTTAGACAGAGCATGAGAGGGGAGAGGGTCAGAGGGAGAAGCAGACTCCCTGCTGAGCAGGGAGCCCGATGTGGGACTCGAAACTGGGCCTCCAGGATCATGACCTGAGCCGAAGGCAGTTGCTCAACCAACTGAGCCACCCAGGCAGCTGACCCATTTCTTTTCAAACAGAGAGACATGTACTTAGGTTATAGGAACATGAATTTGCACGCTCTGAGAGTCTTCTGTACTCAGCAATGAGTAATTTCTAAGATGGTCTATCAGAGTGACTTTGGATGTGATTCAGGCTCAAGACCAGTCTTACATACTTAGAAGTTTGCCTAAGCAAGTATCCTAAACCTTCTCAAGGTTCACTGCCATTGTCTGTAAAATGGGGCAATTATAGTACCTTTCTCAGAGAGTTGTTGTAAGGATTAAAGGAGAAAATATATGGAAAAATGCTTAACACCAGCATATACTAGACACTCATGCTCAGTAAATGTTAGGTATCATTATTAACTATTAGAACTTTCTGGGGCAGATAGGTAGGCAGTTGGAAAAGTATGTGGGTGACCAGGAAAGAGACGTGATATAAACAGCTATAAATACAACCACACTATAACCTTAACTTACCTCATGGTGTGTTACTCCCATGATAAAAATAAATTCCTTCCCATGTGATAAGCAATGTACCTTCCCCATATCTCTTTGCTGCAGCATTCTACTTTTTGTGTACTTACAATATGATACTTCTAAGAAATTCAAGTTTGAGAAATACATATTGAAAATCCCTACAATGCCTGTGAGCCAAAAAGCACAACAGAATATAAAAATGTAAGTCATGCTGAAAAGGTCAAATAGCAAATCAGTTGCTAAGTGTATGTGCAAAAGGACCACAGAACACAGGAAATTATATACTTTAAGCTCAGTTATACCACTTTGGAGATTTCTTTCTGAACATTTCAAACAAAGTTCCCGTAGGCTTACAACCTTAACCATTATGAAACCCTGGGAAGATAGTTAACCCCTAATTATTTTTAAAAAGACCCCCATCCCAACTTTACCACGTGGCCCAAAGGAGTTCCCCATGTTGTATGCTGTTCCATCTGGGTCATAATGAGGATGTGCAGTTGCTCCATTCACAGCAATAAATTTGCTCCAGTCTACCTGCAAATTTAAGACCATCAGGGACTTTTAAATGTTACACAGGCAGATCTCTACGTAGACGCAGAGACAGTAGGAATGTGTCAAATATTTTAAAAATAGAATAGGAAAACTATACTATAAGCCCTAATCTTACTTCTGAGAAATCAAAATTATTTTTCCTACTAAAGAAACTGAGACTAAATAGTAAACAAAAACTCACCACCAGCAACAACAAATGGACAGAAACGATTATCCAATAAGGATTTTTTTCCCCAAGATCACAGGAAAGTACTAAAAATAAGAGTTAAAATTAAAAGTCTGGTCCAAAATTTTATTTATTTTTAATTAATGTGTTAAGTGAAAGCAGTATGGGTCTAGACAATCTCTAGTCCAATTCTACCTGTAGCTAGGAAGAACATGAAATGACCAAAGTAAATCTATACTATTCTATTTCTCCTTTACCATAGCCTTCAGATATTAGGACTAAGGAAGAAGAAGTCTAGAATTGTCTCTCTTTTTTTAAGATTTTATTTATTTTAGGGGGCGCAGAGGGAGAGAGAGAATCCTGAAGCAGACTCCCCGCTGAACACTAAGACAGTTGCAGGGCTTGATCCCAGGACACCAAGATCAGGACCTGAGTCGAAATCAAGAGTCAGCCACTCAACTGCCTGAGACACCCAGGCGCCCCTCCAATTTCTTCTTCAGATATCTCCTACTCTAAAAGTATGTTGAAAGGAAAGACATTTTAGGGTCCATTTTATTCATTTTTTAGCCTATATTTTACCTTTTCTGTTTTTTCCAGAGCTTCAATGTCCACTTTATTCATAAAGTTGATCTCAGAGCTAACATAGTAGTCGCCCTTGTACCGCACATAGTTGACATTGGTATTGTCAGTCATTGCTGAAACCAAACCCCAGAGTTAAACACCACAAGGTACGGTAGCACACAATCAGAGCAACAAAACAGCTTAAATATCCTCTCATACCAAAAAAAAAATCTATTTCAAAATATATATTTATATAGATTCACACATATCATAATTAAAGAATCATCACTATCACCCAGAAATTCTGGGTACAGTAAAGGCTGCTTACCAGGCAGCTCAAACTTTGACATGAAACGTTCAAAAACATTCTTGCATGGATCAGGGAGAGCCAGCGTGCCAAATTCTGAGACGACAATTCGGTCATGAACACTATTGGCCTTATATGTATCACTCTGCAGGAACTTGCTTCTATAGGTCACCGTGCCCTTCTCCATCCTGAACTGGTGAAGCAAAGCCATTCCATCAAACCAGTGATTGTACCTTCAAACAGGAGCAAAAAGAGAAAAACAAATATCAGTAAGAAAAACACGGGGTAAAAACAAGAGCCTTCAAATATAGAGATAAGGAATTGGAATGGGTTCCCAGCACAACTTGATTATTCAGAAAAGTTGAAATTAAGGGATGATACCTTTTGAGTATATCCTGGAGTGCAATAGAAAAGAGCAACCTACATTCTCCTGACCCCTACCCCATCAAAAAACTCACACTTAGAAGGCTGAAAAAACCCTCCAAATTGGTGATTCCTAAGATAATTCTGATTTTTACCCTATAGCCAAGAGAATAACATGCAAGGATATGGAATATTTGATATTTTCTCAATTAAAATGGGTTCCTACGCTTTTAGAAATAGTTATCTTCATATCTTATATTTTCCCTTTACTTTAAAACTTTTCAATTTATCAGAATTATGCTAAAGTAAACAAATAAGATAACTGTACTTACTGGATAATCATTTTTATACATATGATTACAGTAGAAATGATCTATTTAAATGATGAAACATCAAAAAACTATAAAGAAAAATTGGTGGCTTTGCTTTTTAAAGGGCTTCACATCATACAGTCTTTTTATTCATGTGCTTGATAGACTGAATGCTTAATGTCTTCAGCACGGATAAGCAAGGCTAACACCATTGTCTTAAGGCAATGGTCCTGAAAGCAGGGAATCAAAGAGATATTCGTACACCTGTGTTTATACAGCATTATTTACAATAACCAAAAAATAAGCAAACCAATGTCCATTAAAAAGGAAGGAAATTCTGTCACATGATACAACATAGAAGAATTTTGAGGACATGGTTATAAATGAAATAATCCAGTCTCTCTCTCACACACACAAGGTATAGTTTCAGTTTTGTAGGAGGAAAAAGTTCTGAAGATCTGTTTCACAATGTGATAAACTTAACACTAACTTTGACCCCTAAAAATGGCTAAGATGGTAAATTTTATGTTATGGGGGGTTTTTTAAGATTTTATTTATTTATTTATTTATTTGAGAGAGAGAGAGAGACAGCATGAGTGGGGTGAGGGGCAGAGGGAGAAGAAGAAGCAGACTGTGCTGAGCACGGAGCCCAAAGCAAGGCTCGGTACCAGAACCCTAAAATCATGACCTGAGCCAAAGTCAGATGCTTAACAGACTGAGCCACCCAGGCACTCCTATATTGTTTTTTTTACCACAATAAAAAAAATGCAGGAAATAAAGTAAAAAAAAAAAAAAAAAGAGAGACTCTCTTTACCAAGTGATTTGAGATGCCATCTTTATTATTAACTTAATTTCCAATCGTTTTTGGGTTTATTTCTTGGCTTTCTATTCTATATCACTTATCTATTTATTCATGCACTGATACCACAATGTGTTAATTATTGACGCTTTATAGTATTTTTTTAAGATTTATGTTCTATTTATTTGAGAGAGAAGCATGAACAGGAGGGGCAGAGGGAGAGGTAGAGAGAGAATCTCAGACTCTGCGCTGAGCACAGAGCCCAATGCGGACCTCAATCTCATGACCCTGAGATCATGACCTGAGCTGAAACCAAGAGTCAGATGCTTAACTGACTGTGCCACGCAGGCACTCTATAGTATCTTTTAATGTCTAGAAGGGCTAGTCCCTTCACTAAAAAACCATTAGTGTTTTTTTTACTATTCTTACATATTTATTTTTCCACATAAACTTTATGTTGATTTGTCTAACTTCTTTTAAAAACTTGTTAGAATTTTTATTAAGATTGCGTCAAATTTTAAAATTAACCTAAGGAGTACTGACATCTTTATGTTGTTGAAATATCTTATTCAAGAACACAGGATGTTTTTTCATTTGTTTGTGTCTTTCGGGAGTGTTTTAAAGTTTGCACATTTCTTGTTAAGTTCCTAAATATTTAATCTCCTTTGTTGTTACTGTAAAGGTTTTATCCTATTATGTTCCCTAACTGGTTATTGTTTGTGTATATGAAGGCTATTGATTTTGGTAGGTTAATTTTACATCTAGTTACCTTACCTTTTATTGTTTTAGTCTTGTCATTGATTTTTGTGGTTTTCCAGATTTACTAAAATATCATCCACAAACAGAGATAGTTGTACTCTACTAATCCTTGTGCCTCTAATCAATTTCTTTAGTCTAATGGTATTGGTTACATCTAGTTGAAAAGCAGTGGAATAGTGGCCATTTTCTCCTTGCTCCTGTCTTAAAGAAAATACTTATAGTCTTTCCCAATTTAATATTACTGGTTTTAAGACTAAGATTAAAACATATTATGTTTGTGTATATACATACATCTATATAAATACATACATGTGTGTATATATACATGTACACACACATATATTTGATATACATATATTGTATATACATATACATATAGATTATGTATACATATATATGTGTGTGTGTATATATATATATAATCATGTTAAGAAAGTATCCATCAAGTCCTGTTTTATGAATATTTTCATGAGGAATGGATGTTGACTTCTGACAAAAGTTTTGTCAGCATTTATGGAGATAATCCTATGATTATTTATGCTAAAACCTATTAATATGGTATATGATAGGGGCGCCTGCGTGGCTCAGTCGTTAAGCGTCTGCCTTCGGCTCAGGTCATGATCCCAGGGTCCTGGGATCGAGCCCCGCGTCAGGCTCCCTGCTCAGCGGGAAGCCTGCTTCTCCCTCTCCCACTCCCCCTGCTTGTGTTCCCTCTCTCACTGTGTCTCTCTCTGTCAAATAAATAAATAAAATCTTTTTTTAAAAAATATGGTATATGGTATTCATAGATTTCCAAATAATGCACTTACTTTGCCTCATCATAGTGAATTATATTTTTATGTAGTGTTGGATTCCATTTGTTAATAAAATATTTGTCTTATATTGGCACTATATATTTTATATTTTTTCATGGATATTCATAAATAATATGAATAAGTAATAGTTTTCTGTACTGTCTGTATCATGTGTAGATAATTAATATTATACTTGTTTCATAAAAAGAAGTGGAAAGATTCCCTTCATTTTCAATTCTCTTTAATAATGAATCAGGACTATTTGATATTTGAAGGCTTGGTAGCATTTCTCTGTGAAGAAATCTGGGCCTGGTGCTTTTTTTGAGAGGTGGATACTTAATAAGTATCTCTTTTTCCTCTACAGAAATTGTTCTGTTCACACCTGCTATCTCTATCAGTTGTGGTACTCTGTGTTTTCCCAGGAAACCATGCACTTCACAAGGTTCTCAAATGTATTTGCTGGGAGGTCTGAAAAGACTCCTGTACACTTTTATCTGTTTCGATGGTTTCCTTTCCCCCTGCCATTTCTTGTTTTGCACATTTGTGCTTCCTCCCTTTTTCTTCTTGATTGTGTTAGCTAGTGCTTTCTCTGTTTGGGTAAATTTTTTCAAAAAACACTAAAGGGAAGGGGCGCCTGGGTGGCTCAGTCGTTGACGTCTGCCTTCGGCTCAGGTCATGATCCCAGGGTCCTGGGATCGAGCCCCGCATGGGGCTCCCTGCTCAGCGGGAAGCCTGCTTCTCCCTCTCCCACTCCCCCTGCTTGTGTTCCCTCTCTCGCTGTGTCTCTCTCTGTCAAATAAATAAATAAAATCTTTTTTAAAAACACTAAAAAGAAAATAATTTCAATAATTATTGCTATTCTAATCTAAACACCTCTAAAAACACAATACACAGTTCCAAACACAATACCCCAGGTGTAACAGCAGACACTCAGTTTCTTCATTTAAGAAACTTCGTATTCTTTTCTTTCCTTCTTATTTTTTTTTTTGTTACCACCTCATAGTATTGACTCACACTGAGCTGTCAACCAAAACCCCTAAGTAATTTTTAACACATTTTGTTGTTAAACCACATCACTTTCATCCTTGTGCTTGTAAAATTTCTCTTCCTCTACATATACCTTTAATGATATTCCACTTGTTAGATTCCATCTCATAAGATCCTTCTAGACCCGGGCGCCTGGGTGGCTCAGTTGGTTGAGCGACTGCCTTCGGCTCAGGTCGTGATCCTGGGGTCCCGGGATCGAGTCCCGCATCGGGCTCCCTGCTCGGCGGGGAGTCTGCTTCTCCCTCTCCCGCTCCCCCCTCTTGTGCTCTTTCTCTCTCTCACTCTCTCTCTCAAATAAATAAATAAAATCTTTAAAAAAAAAAAAAAGGTCCTTCTGGACCCTATCATTCCATGTACTCTTTTACTCAAACCAACCAACTTTTCTCGAGTTTTCTCAAGCCCCTACTATTCTGCCAGGCTGTGCCAAGACCAGTGCTTACAGGCACATAACTATGTCATAAAGTTGTTCTCTGAGACAACAGACAAGTATTAAAAAAATAGTATCTGTGCACAGAAGGAGCAACAGGATGGAAGGATGTGGGGATCAGGGAAGGGTCTAGAGGAAAGGAGACATTTGTCTGGTTCCCTAAGGATGTTTGCCAGTTGGAGAAGGGGAGAAGGGCATCCTAGCAAGAGGTGGTGAAAGAAAAAAGAAAGAAAGAAAGAGAGAGAGAGAGAGAGAGAAAGAAAGAAGAAAGAAGGAAGGAAGGAAGGAAGAAAGAAAGGACAGAAAGGGAGGAAAAGGAAAGTGAGGGAGGGAGGGAAGGAGGGAGGGAGGAAGGAAGGAGGAAGGGAGGAAGGGAAGGAAGGAAGGGAGGAAGGGAAGGAAGGAAGGAAGGGAGGGAGGAAGGAAGGAAGGGAGGAAGAGCAGTGAAGGCCTATGGAATCCTGGAGGAAGAGCCAGCTTACAAATTCGTGTGTGGGCAGAGCCTTCAGTGGCCGGCGATGGGGAAATAGGTCAGCACAAGACCTATCTGCACTTAGACTTACAGCTCAAAGACCTGCAACAGCAACATGTGGAGTTTTGAAACAGGAGGGTGAAACAGTGAGACCTGCATCTTAGAAAGGTCACTCTGGACACACAGTAGAACACGGGATAGCACGAGGAGCATCCAGATTCGGAGAAACCAATGAGGAGACCCGGCAATAATTCAAGTGGG